ATACAGATCAAGACTGGGTGCCCTGTGTTCTCACACTCTACCAGTCAATTCAGCCACTGATGGTCGTGTGAGCCAGGACTGTGTGTGTGCTGGACCACAGCACCTGCCCTCTGTAGGGAGCAAGAGTGTCAGGTTTTTGGAACAATTTACAAGTGTGTGCAAGTTCAAAGAACACACGTGGCCCACAGGCCACCCTGTCACCGGATTAATGAGCCATTGAGCTCACTGTTGAAACTGGCCCTCGCGTGGCTGGCTTTTGCTTCCTTTAGCAGAAGCATCTGCCTTCAGCTGCTTCCAACCTTCTCCAGGGCCCCCACTGCCCATGCTGACGGGACAAGCACGTGGGAAGCCTTGGGTTTATTGTCCACCAACTACAATAGCTGTAAATTCTGATGTTGGAGAAGACAGAAGAGGATCAGAATGAAGAAAGAAGAGGGAAAGGAAACAATAATGGAGAGAAAAGGGGACTAGGAGAGAGAAAGAACTAGAGGCAAACAGGGACCTTCAGATGTTGGTGCGCTGAACTTTTAAGCCCACCCTTCGTCTTCTACCCCATCTCCACCCCACAAAAGCAGATGTGCTCCTCGTACAAGGTCCCGCTGGGTGGGGGGACCTCTCAGTGAGAACGACTTCCTTCCCATAGCATAGCTGTTGTCCTAGAACACGTCAAAACCGTCCTTACTCTGTGTATTATAAATATTGTTGAAATTCACATTTCAACATTATTTCGTATCATTTATTGGAAGCAAAGTGTGTAACAAGATTTTCTTTTCTTTTCTTTTTTCTTTTTTTTTTGTCTTTTGTCTTTTTCCGTGTCCGGCAACGGATCGCAACCCTCAGTGTTGCCCCCGCACCGGACCGGGGACCGGCAACGGGATCGCAACCCTCGGTGTTGCTCCCGCGCCTCGCTCAGCCAGTGAGCGGGAACCGGTCCGTATGTGGGATCCGAACCCTCGGGTGGGAGTGCCACCACGCTTCCCAAGCGGCGCACTTATCCAGTGCGCCACCGGGCCGGCCCCAAGATTTTCTTTTCACCAGTGCAGGTGAGAGGGCTAGAAGGTTGAAAGTAAAAAGACTTCAAATCATTTCCTTGTGGTTATGTGAATGGGACTTGACGTTGATGTGTAAAGCATTAAAGTGAAAGACGATTTTGCTGGATAAGTATGTCATCAACACAAGATTTTCCATTGCGCTGTATTAATACATCATCCTTCATTTACAAGTGCATCCCAACACGGGATGTCTCCCACTGTAGCGAAAGGAGAGAAAGCTGCCAGGGGGGAAGGAATGCAGTGTTTTGCGGCTGGGGTTCACTGCATCTACATACACATTTTGGAAAGGTCCACGCTTGCTTTGCTTGCTGCGTGTTCTGTGGTCAGATATGAGGGGGCACTACCATCTGGCCTTTGTCCTTCTAGGCTGTAAGATCAACTAAATTCTCAGATTTTCGAAGCACGAAAGGCAGCTATTTTCCCTTTGCTTTGACTCTGTTTCCCTCCCTCACTGCCTGCACCTCTACCTGCTCTTTTACTTGCTCTGCCTCGGGCCCAAAGCAAGAGTTTTCACTAACTCACAGACGCCCAGGCCGACACTGCGGTGGGCTCTAAACTCCAGGCCGGCCGTGCACAGCCAGCCTCCTCCTAGGAGTGTGCTGCCCGCCACAGGCGACTGGGAGTCCAGAGAAGGCGGCGGAGTTCAGGAGAATTGAGAGTGAAACCACGACAGTGATGTCGTGGAATATTCCAAAGACTTATTCTGTAAAGTAAGCAGCTGACACTGGAGAATAACAAAGTATTTTGAGAGAAAATACAGAAGGTGGGCAAGGGTTTGTAGAGCAGGCATTGTACTGTCAGCTGCAGGCACCTTTAAAAAATGTCATTTCAAAGGTAAAATAAGCTGGTGGAGCAAACTGGACATGAGTTTCAGAGTCAGAGATAGCGACAAGTTTGAACCCTATGCCAGCCACGTAAAGCTGAACGAGTTTCTTTATGGCTCCTTTTCTTCACTCACAAAAAACTGAATGTGTTACCCGCACCGCAGGCTAATGGTGAGTGCTCACTGCGACAGGGCCTATCAAGTACTCAGGAGAGCCTGGCTGGAAGCTTCCCCTGGTGGAGGCCAGCAGGTGTGAGTTTCCCCCTGGAAGAGGCAAGTCTCCCCTGTAAGAGGAAGGAATTGTGCCAAACCGTGAACACTTTGAATGTGGTGAAGAAAAAGCTGAAAGCTGCCAGACACCAGAAAAGGTGGCTTTGGATTCCCAGCGCCTGCAGATGTCTGCAGAACAAAGCAGAAACTCACATCAAGAATCTCCTTGTTGGCTTTCGGAGACGTTGCTTCTCTTAATTCCTTGATGGCCACAGGAATTTTAACTTTCTCACCTTCTGGGATCCAGAGTCCCTGTGACAGAGAGAGAGAGAAGACGTCACCTGGCAATCCTCACACTGTGCACTAGGCTGACTTGTGAGAGGCAGGGACTTTATTAGTAACACGGTCCTAATGGGAAGGGGACCACGGTGCCACAGCCTGCATGCCAAGGCCAGCAGTGCTGCAAGTCACGATAACTCGGCAGCGCTTTAGCTACCAGGCTCTGTGAATCTGGACAATTATTCACATAAAAGAATTTCAAGCTTGTGTCAGTTATAAAATCAGTATGGATCATTTCTTGCAGAATTCTAAGATGCTGGGTCTAGGCCTCACTGAAACCAGACTTGATGCAGAGAAGATCTAGGAAAAACAGAGATGAAGAGAAACCTCCTCTGACCTGGGCTTTATTCTGATGCTGTAAGGCAGGGACAGGCCACCCTCCCCTGTCTTGATCTGTCATGGCCCCCGCCTGGCCAGACATCCCTTAAAAATAAATGACGTCTTTTGGTCTGTGTGTGGGTCTCATGGGACCACTTACTTGTCACTGGGGTTATAAAGGATTTCCTCTCAACTACTTGGGAAAACAGTGGAATTTCCCAAAAGCTCAGCAAAACAGAGCAGATGGGGATGAAAGTAACACACAGAGGCTGCCGCGCGCCAGGCGGGGTCTTACCTTATACACGGTGCCGAACGCCCCAGAGCCCAGCACTTTGATCTTTTTGAACTCAGTTTCCTTTAAGATCCTCAGGAGAGCTTGGTTGGGAGCTTCCCCGCTGGGGGTGAGTGGCTCCACGAGCTGTCAGAGACAAGGAAGCAGACCTGAGGTGCCCACTCACCACGCTGCACGGGACACAGGCACCACGACAGTCCAGAGCACCAGCCGGCGGCCCACGCGGTCGTACCGCAGTGCAAATGACTCACCAGGCCCATGCCAAGAAGAAACGCACACCTTCTCTAAGGAACTTAACAGATGGTAGGAACAGAGAACAGCTACATTTCAGCACACCCGATTTCTATTTCTGTTTCCAGGCCAGTTAGCTGGACTGAAAAACTCCGGTGAGGAAAATTTTCCCATGGTGGTCACACTTTGACAGTCTTGTCCGGCCCATGACACACAGCACCGCTATGCTCAGGAGCTGCTGTGGTCCCTCCTCCCAGGGACAGTGGTGGACACAGACACTGGCACAACCACAAACAGCGCTCAGGCAGGAGCAGCCACTGTGTGGTCAGGGCATTCCCCAAAGTCCTATCTTCTCATCTGAACCTCAGCGCCTTCACAGGTGCTCAGAGACACCTCTGCACAAGCCTCTCGCCTGTGTGAGCTCACAGGTGCTGTATGTTAAAAAGGTCTCTATGCAGCTTTGTAAGCACTTTGTGACATGGCCTAGAAATATTTACATTTCGCTGGATGGATGTACCAAAATGTAACTAATAGGGTATAATTGGACATTCAGATTCTTCCTGGATTTTTCCATCGACAGGAATAATGCATAGTAAATAATTCAATTATATATCTAGAATACAAAACTGCAAATTGCGAGTTGTCAAAGGAGGGCCTCTGCTGCTCACCTCTCTCTCCTGCAGGAGTCTGCGCAGCGTGCGCTTCCGGACGATGTGGCGCCTGCGCATGAAGAGGCCGACGCCCAGGGCCACCAGCAGCAGCAGGAGGAGGCCACCCACAATCCCAATGGCGATGGATGGGATCTTAGGCCTGGGAGGAGGAGGACAGCAAGGGAGGGTGAGGTTAGCGGAGGATTTCATGACACCGCCGTGTTCACGTGCCCTGCCTGTATGACACGCTGATATTGGCCCCTTTTGTGTATTTTAAAAATTGAGGTCTCATCTGGACCTCTCCAGATGATTTTTAGTTTTCAATTTGTTGATTAAGAAAATATAGAATTTAGACTTCAATAGTGCTTTTTATGCGAATTTGTATTTTGTCCTTTCCAAGGGCATTTCCACGCAATTGAAGAAGTCTACACTGGGCCCGGTATGGTCTCCTGGGCACGTGGTGTGGAGGGAACTTTCAGTGACATGAGCCTCCTATGAAGGTCCTTGGCTGGGCTTTCAACATGGGACCTGCAGCTGTGCAAATGCTCTAAGAATAAACTTGCAGGAGGTTGTAAAGTGACAGAATTTTGACATAAAAAGCACCACTGTCGCAGTGAGTGATGTCTTCACGCAGCCTCAAACTGCAGGGGTGCACGAACCCCTCCCTCCCATGGAGGTCGTGTCTCATTTCAGAGAGAGGGAGAACTCGGCAGCTGGGCTGCAAGCTCACTGGGGAAAGGAGCATCTGAATTTGGAGTCTTTAGAAAGTTACGCTTCTTAAGTATCTATCCCATGTGAGCTGCTGGCAAATTGACTCATGTTTTGAGGTGGAAATGTTCATGAATATCAAAGATTAATTAGCAGCATGATTTGGTCATATAAAATGTCCAGAGTCCTAACAAATTTCTCTTAAGTGGGCCAAATGTACTGCATAAAAATGATAGTTTACAACACTTTATTTGCTCTTAAAAAGGGTAATGTAACAAAGAACAGTCATCGACTGGTTCAAAGTGGGGACATGCTAGAACCTGTCACAGTGATGCTGAGATTATGGTAGAAGAGAGGAGCACTTTTGCTGTGTGTCCCTGCAGGCTCCGTGAGGAGATGGGGTGACAGGAGAAACCGGCCAGCACCATCAGTTCTGGGACAAAAGTGTGCTGAAGCTGCAGAAGGGCCGGTGAGGGAAGGGATTTTGTAGATATTATCAGAGATAGTGGAGGTGCCTGGAGGTGTGGCTAGTGTTCTGGGATATCAGAAACGGCAAACACATGTTTTGTGTATTCCTGATTCCTCACTAGGCACGGTGATTGACGAAACCACTTTTTCCTGATTAGTCTGAGCAGGGATCCACAGGCTTGCTTTTCTCAGGGCAGCATTTCAAGCACTGATGGCAAATAGATCAGAATTGAAATGCTGGAGGAAATTGCCAGTGCTGAGCAATGTGCTTGGAAAAGGAAATAAGGAGAGAGAATCCCTCCAAACAGGAGCTCTGTCATCAAACATGGGTTTGTGATAGAACCAATTGAGTTAGTGGGGAAAAAGTGGAGAATCCAGAAGAGAAGGACCCAGCAAAACCGGTGTAACCAAAGAAGTCAGAGACAGGCCACGTACACAGAGGAGCAGCGAGCTTTGATCCCCTAGCCCCAGCTGCACACGTACAGGCCCCAGCCCCTCCTGGCCCGCGTTCCCTCCACTGAAAGTCAAGGTCAGCCTGGGGAGCAGGGTGAAACCTGCAGGGTGGTCTCCGCCAGACTCCCACACTGGCCCAGAGGAGACGTGAGGACCTGACAGTGCCAGAGGATGACCCAAAAGACAGGAAGCACTGTCCACGGCACAGCACGCCAGGTCATTCTGAGGCCCATGGGACATCAGGCTGGGATACCTACCTGCCTGCACAGCCGTCCACACCTGGCCCAACACATCTGTAAGAATTGAAAGAGAAATACGTATTTTTCTCGTTCAACTTTTTTGGCCTTTTTTTCTGGGAGAGGTTTTATTAAATCATAAGCCAATGTGTGTTAAATGACTCTCAAATCATTAAAATCACAGTGCACCTCAATGTTGCAGTGGTGGTGATTTATTATACACATATTCATTGGTTCATTCACTCAGCAGATAGTTGTGGGTGCCTGCTCCGTGACATGGTCTGTTCTAGCATGGAGCAACACCACCAGCTCATTACTGAAATGTGTTCACACGCTACTTGTGACATAGGTATGGTGTCTCACAGCTGGCTCTAGAAGGTCAGTGTAGATACGGGAGGTGCGGGAGCCCAGCCTAGGGACATGTACTGGGGGCCACGCTGACTGTCGGGGAGACTGCAGGGTGGAGTTACTGCAGGCTTACGGCCAAGCCTGAGCTTTGAAGGATCACCTGGCGGTGAGTGAATGGAGAAGAGGCTGGTGCTGAGGAGGATAATCACAGCACGAGAGAGAAGGAACGAGCCCTGGTAAATTAAGGTGCCACCAATGGGAGTGGAAGGAGCTGGAAAGAAGACCCCATGGGAACCTGGCAGCCCCGAGAAAGAGTGGTGGAAAGGAAAAGAGGGAGGAAAGGACGTGGGAAGGAGAGAGTCTCAGAGGCAGGGAGGTGCCACGTGACACAGACACAGATGCCTGGAGCAGGGCTGGTCTCACACTCCTCCCCTCATGAAATGTCTCATACGCAGAAGAGACAGAATTCATCTCAAGTGTGGCTCATGGGAAGATGGGACAGGCCACCCATCATTGTTTTGATTACAGGATGATGGTTTAAAAAGGCAGAGTAAGTCAGCCCTGAGACGCACAATTTATGGCCTGGGGAATGATACACAACTACATCTCAAACACATGAAGCCTGACACTGTCACCTGGTCCTCAACACCTTCTGTCTCCATTCCTCAGGTCTGTGCATCCTGCTTTTCCTGGTTTTGACGGCCAGGCCCCTCCTTTCCCTGGCAGATAATGCAGTCCTGCTCCTGCAGTGCCTGTGGGCTTTATTCATAAACCAAACACACAGGCTTCTTCAGACAGTGGAATGCACCAGCCTGATTATTTCAGTTTATTATCTTCAAGGAACACCAAAATAGGCAAAGACAAAAAGATTCGCTAATGAAATGACGCTGATAAAACCAGGCCCTACTCAAACTATCCCTCCTCACACTCATTTGTCCTGCCATGTGTGGCAGTCTGTCCCTTACTGCTGGATGTCACACCATAGGAGCATTATGCAGAGTGAATGCATACAGAAATTGCAAATTTTGGACAAGATGCTGGATTTCATGCAGCCTCTGAAAGTGCTGTTGGAAAACCATGGGGATTGCTAACAGGAAGCTGTGCAAACAAGCTCAGACCAATTTACATTTGAAGAGCTGATTGACAGTACAGGGACAGGACAGGTGCTGCAGGAGAGAACCATTCGAGTATCACAAGATTACGAGGCCCTGGGAGAGCTGATGAGGTCCTCACTCAAATTTGCCGAGATGATTGCTGCATACGAAGTCAAGGAGGCCAAACTGCAATTATACTAGTTACTAAATCTTGCTACATACAATTAAAATAGGCACGTTCTCATACTATTTATCAGGATAAAAATTTTCAAGAAAGCTTCCCCTCAACTCTTACAATGAAAATGTGCTTCCATTTAAAAGTGGACATGTTTAAGTTTCCCTCCCCATCCCCTGGGTAGTCCCCCTGCCTGGGGGAGGGTGCAGCAGCCTTGGGAATCAGGCCGGCTTCCGTGGGCTCTGACACGGTTGGCTCATGATGCTGTTCTAGAAACTGTGACCTGTATGATACAATCTGAAACTGTGTGTGTTGGTAGGGAGATTAGGATATCATTATTGGAGATGATGTGATTGTCTTCCTAGAAAATTCACTCATCATCCTGATTTTCACCATCACCCCCACGTCGGCGCCATCACTGGTCCAGCGCTCGCCCTGCTCCAGGCACTGTTTCAAGTGCACGACATACACTACCCGCATAAAAGTCCCGTGAGTATGCAAGGTTGTTACTCCAATTTACAGACCAAGAGAGGGAGGCACAGAGAAGGTAAGACACTTTCCAAGGCCACACTGCATCATACAGATCCAGGGAGAGAAAGAGGAGCAGTTCCAAGTAAGGTTGCAGATTTTGAGAAGTACAGGAAATGTGAAATAACATAAATGACAACTCAACTTCTCTTTCTGATTGCTGGGCGTACTCCAATTTGATGGCCAAATTAATTTTCCAGTAAGTAAGATACATAAAATCAGAATGCTTCTGCTAATTCCAGTCAAAATAGTTTTAATTCATGTACTGACAGCTTAACAATCAACTAGCTAAAATGTCTTTAAACAACATTCCAGGCAATGCTACCTTTTATTAACTGCAAAATAACGAAAAAGTCAATCCCCACATGACCGATGGTAACCTGGTGAGATCCAGAACGCCCTCTGGAAAGAGGCGGAGGTGGCTGCTGCCAGCCTGGGCCCTGGTTCCTCTGCTCACTTGCTCTCTCTCGTCTAAACCTGGGGCATTGCGGGGCCAGCCCTGGTGGGAGACACATTGCGAGGTGCAGAGAGGTGTTCCCACCAGCACTGAGATCTGCCCGTGAGCATATTGTGGTGGCTGCTGTGGCCATGGCTCAAACTGTGTTCATGGCCTCTATAATTTATTGCCTGGAAACTGTGGAGACTTTCAATCTACGAATACATGAGACAGGACATATCGTGTTCTGCACTTTCTCTTCCGGTCTCAGCCCCACTCACCCATAGGTGCAGTTCGGATGGCACAGGTGGCACACTTGGCTGGCGTCTGGATACTTCCAGACCAGGGTGTTGTTTTCCCCCATGACTCCAGCTGGGCAGGTCTTGACGCAGCGTGGGCCATCAATGTAGTGGGCACACTTGACGCAGTTGTCTGGGCCCTGCACCAAGGGGAGAAACACATTTATGTGCATCTCTTTCTTTCTCAAAAAGGAAGGAGCTTTTTACTTAAAATATTTACGGTGGGGAAAAAATCTAAGTGATTTAGAAGTTCTTAGAAAACAGGTTCTTCTGTGACTGAACTTACTGGATCTGACCACTGTTAGCAACTTAGTATGAAGTCGTATGAAGTCTTTCTAACTTTGGATGCATGTGACAGACACTAAGAGAAACTATACTCTATGCTGCATGTGACTTAGCACACTGTGGGCCTCTCTCCTTGTCAAAACCATTTTGATTGGCCCACGTGGATATTTATATCTTATTGGTCAGTCTTTCTCATATATTGTATTTGATGTTCAAGGGAATCTCTGAGGGAAGCAGATTTGCTGAGGCAAATTTAAGAAAACCCTCATGGATGTTTCTCCAGTGACAGGAAGGTGGCACATGTAACTGTAGGGGTGGCTGCATAACAGACTGAGCAATATCTACATTTGGTTGTGTTTGTAAACTCGGGGGAATCCCCATGCAAAAGTCACAGGAGTGAGTGTCGGGGCTGCCCTGGTGTGTGCCCCACGCTCCTCAGGGGACTGAAATAAAACTGGCAGGGAAGGATCGTCCCCAGGCTGAGTTCCTCAGTGTCTCAGTGTTGTCCACTCGAAGGCTGAGTATATCCAGAGCCAGAACAGCTGGGTAAATGAGTCAGTATCGCCAATTATTTTACTTTAATGATGAAAATTTAACCCAACACCATGTAAACCTATAAACCAATGGTAAAGTTATAAACCACGTAAACCTTTAAAACATGTAAACCTATAAACTTTGTAACCAGCCGTGCTGGCAGCCTATACCCCGAAACACAGTCCTCTCATCTTCTGCCCGATTTAGGGAGAACGTCTGAAAGACGTTTTCAATTAGTAGATGTAGATAATGGCTGTTGAAGCTCAATCCAAACAGAGCTCTTTCTATAAATAACACTGAGAATTAACAGCATTGGAACATTTACTGTGCAAGGCAGCTGAGTTCTCAGTTCTTTATAAGATTGGTATTGAACATGTAGATATGAAACTGGATTTTAAAAAGTTTTGCTAGGAGCTTCTTTAAAACTCTTTCCACTGATCATAAACTAGCGTTAAAGAAGAATTTGATAATGACGTTTGATTGAAATGATAAAGCAATGGTGACAGATGTCAGAGATCGTAAGAGCTGGCTGACGGTCACCAGGCCCACTGTGGGCTTCCCTGTGCTGTGGTGAAGAAATGTCATCACTCAATTTGGAAAGATGAAGGTGATTGTGTGACAACTTCCCACAAGTGACAACAGCCACTCGGGTACAGCTGTCAATCCCACTGGTTCTTCCCTGAGAAGGGGCCTTGACGGCTGTCCTTCCCGGCCACAGGATGGCTTGGGTCCCCGTCATGGTTCTGCTGGTGGGCAGGCTCTTCCCGGGGAAGTGGGAGTGAATAGCATTGAGGTGCTCCTTACCTGTCCCGTGCAGGTGATGTTCATGGCCTGGGGCAGACATTCCGGATGGCACTGTATACACTCGGAATTCTCCACAAACTCCCTTGGCTCCCTGAGAGAAGAAAGGACACTGATCAGTGCTCTGCCCTGAGGGCTGCTTCAGTATGCGGGTCGTGTGGACTGTCTCAGGGACACGACTCCCCTTTCTCGGAAACTCAATTTCAGGTAAAGTTCAAAGAGCTGGGACTCTAGGACTATACTGTAATATAATAAACTGATCTTATTAACTGAATCCTTGTTCATCTTCTCCCTAAATAAATAAATACTACTCTTCACTTATAACAAAACACCTTTCCTACATTTTTCTACAGGCCTAGTTTTTGTATAATTAAGCAATCCAAAAGATGAAAAAAAAAAGTCTTTATGAGATGCCCCACCCTGTTCCAGATTCATGCGTATTTAAATGAACTGGAAAGAAATAGTAATTGTAGACCAAGGGATGGGAAAAGGAAGGAGGATGTTAAAACTTGCTCAGTGGTTACTACTAAAAATAGTAAGTATGGAAAACAGGAGTGAAAAATTTTGCTTGTAATATTTTCAACACTTGTCAAGATGTACGGATCAATGTTAAACAAGAAGCTGATGCTTGACTGAAAAGACAAAACAGTCACCACAGATGTTAAAAAGACTAAGCTCTGCCTGGTCATTCACCACACATGTTCACTCTAAGCAGCAAACAAGGACTTCCGAGTGCTGTAAGTCCTCCCTTTCAGGCAAATGGCATTGATTAAGCCAAACATGATGCAGGGGCATTTGCTCTGTGCTTCTTCTCTGGGTCACCACTCCTGCTGAAGGGGCCAGTCTTGCAAAGGGAGCAGCTGTGCTGGACACTGGGTTTCTCTGCACTAACAGAAGGACACAAGGCACCCGTAACATGGTTCTTTTAATTGCCTTGTTTCTTTAAACTGGAAACATGAAATGAGGATCTATTTGTAACAGCAAGGATTGCACCAGTCTTCCTTCCCTGCAGTTGGAACAGCACCATCCTTTATGCAAATCATCCTGAGCCCATCAGCTAAAGGATTCCTACAGAACTGAATTTGGTCTTCTCCTCCTGCTCCTGGGTATGAGGGTTAACAAGTCTCGAATGTTTGACTCCTCCAAAGCTCCTGTGGAAGACGGATCCCCAAAGTAGCAGTGTTGAAAGATGGGGCCTTCAGGAGGTGATTGGATCATGAGGGCCCTGCCCTCAGGGATAGATCAGTCAATTTATGGAT